TCTTTCATTAAATGTTTATTCCTATGTATTGAAATTTCTAGCAATTCGAGCATGATTTGATAATCTCAAACTTTATACACTTGATATATTCATTTTCTTTTTTACATTTTTTTTCTCCTTTCTCAATTGGATTTGTTTCTGATCCTTAGAAGAGACACTTTTGGATTTATCACTTCCATTAATTTTCTCAGGTGTCACGGCTAAAGAAACAAAAATAGAGAAGCAATGCTCTACATTTAATTCTCCCCTTCCTAAATCACATGGAATATGAGTTTTTTTCCTCTTAATCCCAGAAAAGTACACTCTAAGATACAAATCTATGAAAAAAAATCGTTAGTTTCCAAAAGGTATCACTATCTTGCAAATAGCAGGATGTAGATAAAGGAAAAGTCATGCTCCTATCTCCAACAGGCTTAAGTATTCCAAAATATCAAAGATACTCTTCTATTTCTAAAACCACGGCACAACATTAGCTCCTTGGCAGAAAGCTGCACATGAGCTCAGGTTGCACAGAGAGCTGACATGTTCTGTTGGATGAACTTGTTGTACTGGAATAGCTGATAAACAAGAGCTATCTCTTGAACTTAAAAAAATGATGAAGAAGAAAGTCACCAGTATAGTACAGTGAAAGGAATATTATTTTCTGCTCACTGCAGGAGACCATATTTTTTCAGGGAAGTTGAGTATAAACATACTGGAAGGTCCTCTTGTGAGAGGAAATAGAAATGTAGACGTGGCTTTCCAGAGAGACTGACCCGGGTTCCCGTCCTGACTCTGCTATTTACTGTGATCACAGCCCCTCTAAGCCTTGCTCCTCGACTCTACTATGAGGATAATACTATTCACTTCAGAGAGGGGTTGTGAAATTTAAATAAGTTAAAATATGTAAACAGGTGACATCTGGACAGTGTTCAGTTGATGTGAGCTCTTTCTCCCCCATCTCTTCTGAATTAGAAATAAGAAAATACTCAACCACTCAGGGCACCGTAAGTGACGCCATCTTCTTGCTCACCCCTCAGCATAATCCATCACCCAATCTTATTGATGTTTTCCTCCTAAGCAACTCAAATTTCTACCTCTCTCCAACCAGTAGATTAGCTATGACATCAGTTCCGATTTCCAACACTGCGAGACTGACCACGTCAGGCCTGCTCTAATCCTAACGTGATGGTAAGAAAGAGTTCGGGATTATAAAGTCAGGGCAGAGGAATGATTCCCGCACCTGGAGGAGATGGACCCTTCCTTGGGTACTGATGTGGGCCACGCTTTTGGGCTCCTCTCTCCCGAAGGCTCTCTCCCTCCATATCCCCTGAACGTGGTGGGAGCATTCCTGAGGAACTAGAGGGCCACCTCAGAGCTACATCCACTGACTTGTATCCTTTGCACTGTTTCTTTGCTAAATTCTTCAGCACACCCAAGCGAAGGCCACTTAAAACTAAGTCCAAATCTTTATTCTCTTCTAGTCCTCTAACTCAGACCCGGACTTTGTGGATTAGCCAAAATGATCATATAGTTCACATTATTACAACAGGTTTCTCATTTGTCTCTTTGCCTCTCAAATTAATTACGTCATTCTGAAAATGAACTTTTTTAGGTTCATTTTCAGCTCCCACTGTCCTGTGTCTTTAACTCTCTACTCCAGCCAGATTAACCATCTGCACAGAGCTTTTGCTTCCAAGCAGCTGAACATCTCAGTTTCACGGGCTCGTCTGTCCTTGACCTTGCTCTTCAAGAGGAAGCTCAGAATCAACTGCTCTGGGAAGTTTTCTCTGGTGCCACCAGGCTGCATTAGGGGTCCCTCCTCTGTGCTGTGCCCCTCTGTGCTCACGCACTTGCCCCTGCCATAGCCTCACCACCGACACTGGAGTTACTTGCTTTGTTCTGTGTTTTACACCATCCTGGGAGCACCCTAGGAGCAGTGACTTTAAGCAGGGCTTACAACATAGTGGGCACTTAATGTTGCTGAATGTCTGAATAAATGAAATGAATGATGAACAAAAGAACTGGTTTTTTTATCGTATGAACCCTATGGACCATGTAGTTTATTTTGTTTTCCATTTAACCTTGACTGATAGGTGAAGTAGTAATACTATTAGGAGTATATGGCACATACTCAAATTATTAGGGATACCCCTGGATTTTCACATCCTTTCTCTTTTCCACTCCACTCCAACTTCTTCACCGATACTGTAGTATCAGTACATTTTTGGAACTAAGTGGGAGTGGTGAAATATTTAAAAACTGAACGAATTTGTTTTATCATTGTGAAAAAGCATCTGCCATCAATGCCTTGTCTTGCCAAGTATCTGAGGACCAACTGCCTCCCAAACCCATGCTCTTATACATACTTTATGAATGAGAAAATGTTACGTAAATATTACTCATGACTCTTCCCAACTGGCAAAATCCTGCTCTTTCTTTATGACACATCTCAAAAGTCAACTTCTCTGACACCCGTTGCCAAACTCCTTCTGCAGCCCTCTCATCTTTTTTCTTGGGCCACTGGCATTGTTATATATTTGATTTCCCTATTAATTTAACTGACATACTCATTTTCGTATCTCCAGTGGCTTATCTCAGTTGTGAACAGCTAGGAGTTTTCAATATAGGATTTTGGAATTAATTAATTAGTGAAAAAATTAATTATATAGAGAGGAAGGCTGATGATAACAGGAGAATGGATGAATGAAATTACAGGAACAGGAGCCTTATTAGGACTGGAGCTTTCTGAAATGGGTGATTTGATTTAGTGCTCTAGTGGTAACAACTACACAGTAATGATATGCATAAGATGTATGCTTGAATTCTTGAGACCTAACCTGCAACAACTACTATTTCAATTCAAGAATTTATTTTGTTTCCTTCGTGCTAATCACTAGGCTATCATTATTTGCAGAAGGGGTCATTTAATAAGTGGTTATTGGTGGCTGTATCCCTAATACTTAGCACAGTGACTGGGACATAATAGGTCCTCAGTAAATATAAAGGAGTAGAATCGTGTAAGGGGAGGGAGTGGAGGAGAAGAACGCGAGATGACACCCAAGGACACGGGGGGCTGGGCAGCTGGGCGAGGGCGCCCTCCTTTAAGGCATTTTTAAAAGGTCGATTCCAGGCGATTTGACCCCCAAACTCGGCGCGAGAAGCAAGTTGGGGGAAAGCGTGTCAGGAGCAGCCCTGGGGCTCCAGCCCACCCTTGACAGAGGGCGATAGGGCTGGGGGTGAAATGCTCAAGTCGAAGAGGAAAAGGAGCCAGTGTTCAGTTAGGTGTCAAAGTACTTAAGAAATTACTCACCCGCTTGGCCAAGTCCAGGCACCGGCTGTTACCTCAACTGCCCTTTAAACGCTTTTCTTAGTGGCTTTCGTTCTTTGAGGATTACTGAACAATTCGGACCCACAGGTGCCCGCTGTTTTGAGAAAACTTTGTGTCAAAAAATACACAAATTGAAGCAAATCCTCATTTGTTGTTAAACCTCCAGTCTTTTGAGAGGTCCTTTTTCTGAGAAGACTGAAGGTTGACATACTCCTCCATTTAGAGGTCCTAAATGGAGCGGGGGATTTTCCTGCTTAACCCGGGTCACGCCCAACTCTGGTGCAGACCAACTGAAGAAACCTTGCTAATTCCGCCCGCCCGCCCTCCTCTCCTCGTTCCCTTCTCTCCTTGTCTGCGCCCTCTTCTTACACTTAGTACAAGTGTAATTATGACTTAGATCGTACCCTTCGGTCTTCTTTTTGACAGTTCTCAAATTTCACCATTTATTTAATTGGAGGGGGAGGGTCTTGAAAATAATTCAACTTTAATACCTTTTATAGTTTTAAAAACATCTTTCTTCCTTATTCTGACTTCAGTTTTATCAAATGCCAGTCAGAGCGGAGTGAAGACTGGCTAGGGGGAACCTCGTCGGCTCTCTGCGGTTTAGAGGAGAGGCAAGACAGATCTCGCCCGCACGTGGAGACCCGGCCCCACGAGGCAGCGTGGGCCTCGCCCTCACGTGGAAACCCCGCCCCACAAGGCAGCGCGCGCCTCGCCCTCACGTGGAAACCAAACCTCACTGAGCAGCGCTCGCCTCGCCCTCACGTGGAGACCGCACCTCACTGAGCAGCGCGCGCCTCGCCCTCACGTGGAGAACCCACCTCACTGAGCAGCGCGCGCCAAGCGCTCCCGGGGAGACCCCGCCCCACGGGGCAGCGTGCGCCTTACCCTGACGTGGAGGCCTCGCCCCACAAGGCAGCGCTCGCCTGTCCTCACGTGGAGACCGCACCTCACTGAGCAGCGCGCGCCCCGCCCTCACGTGGAGACCCCGCCCCACGGGGCAGCGTGCGCCTTACCCTCACGTGGAGGCCCCGCCCCACAAGCCAGAGCTCTCTTCGCCCTCGCGTGGAGACTGCGCCTCACTGAGCAGCGCGCGCCTAGCCCGCAGAGGAGCGCTTGGGGCCGCGGAATCCGTGTTTATCCTGACAGGGGCTCCCCCGTGTGGCTTCTGTGGACTGTGAAGTCTGTGACTTGAATGTTTATACTTCCATTCTCTTTTGAGGATGGAAGAAGTTCAGGGTCTTGCCCTCCGGAGCAGAGGAGATACTCTTGTTTTCTTTTTAGCACATTTTTGTCTCTCTCAGAGTAGAAAAAGTTTCCAGGTTTTCTCAGTAACATTCAGTAACATCCAGTTTCGAGTAACTGAACTCCTGCCTGGGAAAGCATTTGGGGTAGAATTACCGCAGGAAACCCCAAGGCTGCTGTTGTCACGCGGATGAGGGAAAGGGGAGGTTGAGACCTCGATTAACTGAATACCCACTAGGTGCCAGGCATTTTACGTCATTATTTAATCTTAGAATATCTTAAGTAGGAATTATCCCCATTTTTTAAATTGAAGTATAGTTGATTTACAATTTTAGTTTCAGGTGTACAGCATTGTGATTTGGTATTTTTACAGGTTATACACCATTAAAAGTTATTACAAGATAATGGCTATAATTCCCTGTGCTGTACAATATATCCTTGTTGTTTATACATTTAAAAAATATGGCGTTTTCCTGACATCCTTGCACAGGGGCCATGCTAATCTTCTCTGTATCCGTCCAATCTCAGTATATGTGCTGCCAAAGTGAACACTGCCATCCCCATTTTATAGACAAGGAAGAAGATTCTCAGAGGCACAAGGTCTCAAAATGATGTAGCGAGGGTCCAAACTGTGACCTAAGTCCAGAGCTTTGCACTAATGAGACCACTTACAAGAAGGCAGCATTTCCTGCTCAATTTCTTCTCCTTAGAGATGTCACATTCCAGAGAAATTTCCTTATGTTCCAACTCCAATATCCTTATATCTGTATGGCTCATCTGAGTTATATGTGAGTGTGTCACTTCTGCCTCTGCATTTGTAAAGTGTGTTGCGTTTGCAGATTTCATCTCAAGAATAGTTTTTTTGAGTTTTTTTATTTCAGTTTTACTGATGTATAACTGACAACTAAAATTGCAAGATATCTCAAATGTACACAGTGATGATAAACATTGTGAAGGGATTCTCCCCAACTAGTTAATTAATACATCCATTATTATTATTATTATTATGAGTTAATTCATAAAATAAAGTGAGGCCAAGGGAGATGAAGTGACATGCTTAAAATTATTACAACTAGCAAATGGATTTCGTTAAGTCTAGTGATGTGAAAACCATTTTGATTCTCATATCAGGCTGTCTTACATCTGCTTTTATAGAGTAGATTTTTAAACATTTGTCAAGTGAGAGCATCACTAAGTTTCCTCCTAACCCTCCAGTTCTGGGAGTTCTGATTTTCTGATTCTTAAGGACTTTCACGTCTTGTCTCCCCTTATCTTCAACGCTCTCGTCAGGGGATGCTAAGGCCATAGAGAGGTTTAAGACTTGCCCTTGGTCACACAGACGGCCTCTGCCCCACCCAAGCCTGGCATGCAGACTCTCTGACTTGTAGCCTTGCACTGTACGGTAGGCATTAGCATTTATTTGGCCTCAGTTTGCCTCTTTTCTTTGATGAGTGCTTATAATTTCCTTCTTTTCCTGTCTTGTTTTAGAGGGGCTAACCCCATCCTGGCTTTTGGGGTAGACACCTGACTCTGGCCTGGCTACTCAAAGTGATTGTTACAAAAACAAGCTTATGATCCAAACTGAGCCAATAGCAGGCAGCTGTAGGTTTCACTAGCACCTTTGGGTGAAAAGTGTGTCTTTCACCTGGTCTTGCAAAAGGGGTTTTTATGGACTGAATGCCTGTGCCTCCCGCAAAATTCATATGATGGAGCCCTAACTTCCAGTGTATTTGGAGATTGGGCCTTTAGGGAAGTAACTAAGTTTAAAAACGAGGTCATAAAGCTGGACATCAAATCCTATAGGATTAGGGTCCTTGTGAGAAGAAGAGACAACAAAATGTGTTATTCCCCCCAGCCCCCAACACATGCACATACTGAGGAAAGGCCATGGGAGGACACAGAGAGGAAGTGACCATCTGTAAGCCAGGGAGAGAGTCCTTACCTGAACTGAATCCTGCTGAAGCGTTTCTCTTTGACTTCCCAACCTCCAGAACCATGAGAAATAAATCTCTGTTGTTTAAGCCACTCAGCCTATGGTGTTTTGTTATGGCAGCCTGAACTGGGCAACATAGTGGTAAAAGACCATCGGGGAGCCACTGGTCATCATCTCTGCTGCCAAGTGAGAAGGCCAACAGAGGGAGGAAGAGCTGTGAACAGGAGAGAGGCTGGGTCTGGACCCTAGACTGTTCAGTATGTGAGCCACTATCTTTGTTTAAACAGCTGTATTGAGGCATAATTCAGATTCCATACAATTCACCCGTTTAAAGCATGTAATTCAGTGGATTTTAGTACACTGAGAGATATGTGCAACCATCACCAGAGTCAATTTTAGAATATTTTCATCACTTCAAAAAGGAACCCCATCCCCTTTAGTTATCACACCCCTTCTCCCCAGTCCTAAGAAACCATGAATCCTTTCTGTCTCTGTAGAATTGCCCATTATGATTATTTCATATAAATGGAATCATATAATATATGGTATTTTGTGTCTTCTCACTTAGCATAATGTTTCCAAGGTTAATTCATGTTATGGCATGTATAATTTCTTTCCATGGTGAAATAATATTCTGTTGTACACATATACCACATTTTGTTAACCCACTCATCAATTGATGGATATTTGCGTTATCAGCTTTTGCTTATTATAAATTATGCTTCTATAAACATTCATGTGCAAGTTTTGGGGTAGACTTATGTTTTCATTTATTTTGAGTATATATACCTAGGAGTGGAACAGCTGGGTTATATGATAACACTGTTGAGGAACTGCCAAACTGTTTTCCAAAGCGGCCACACTGTTTTACATTCTATCAGCAGTGAGTGTTCTCATTTCTTTGTCAACACTTATTATAATCTGACTTTTAAATTCTAGCCATACGAGTGGGTATGTGAAGTAATATCTCATTGTGGTTTTGATTTGCATTTCTCTGGTGAATAATGATGTCAAGCATCTTTCCTTGTGTTTATTGGCCACTATATATCTTTCTAGGAGAAATGTCTACTTGGATCCTTTGCCCATTTTTAAATTGAAGTATTTGCCTTTTTATTATTGAGTTGTAAGAGTGTTTATATATCTTAGATACAAGTCCCTTATCAGATATAATAATACTGAGTTTGAAATATTGCAAGTTACTGAAATATGACACAGAGACACAAAGTGAGCAAATGCTGTTGGAAAAATAGCACCAATAGACTTGTTTAACTCAGTGTTGCCACAAACCTTCAATTTGTAAAAAGTGCAGTATCTGCAAAGTGCAATAAGGTGAAGCATGATAAGACAAGGTATACCGGTATTTGAAATTCAGTTCATTTTTGCATATTGAACCAATATATTTTTGTTAACCTTAATCCTGCTTAAATTGTACTTTTAGTACTTGGAACTGAAAGAACGCTAACCAGTATTTTTCTCTAGACTTCACCATAACTGGCTTCCCCAAAGGTTGGGATTTAGAAATATATTTAAGCTTTTACATGACCTTATTTGATCCCTGCTCACCTTGGGAGGTGTGCAAAGTGGATACTTTCATCTGCATTTCAAAGGTAAGGAAACTGAGGCTTGAAAGGCTAAATGACTAATCCAGATTTCAGCTTAGTAAAGGGGCATATCTGGAACCAGGAGATGATTAAATTCTAGTGCCCACCCTAAGGAAAAATGATTACTTGTCAACCACAGAAACTTTTTTTTCAAGTCATAATTCTAAAAAGTATGGAAAATAAAATCTCACCCCCCCCAAATGGTTTGGAATATTTGTGGCAGATAATTTACTATCTTAGGAACTATACAAACTCTTTAAACTGCAAGGCCAACATCTAAGGAGGCCAATTTGGCATTGCATTTGTAAAAGAAACATAATTATAATGAAAGTTGAAGCAAAGGAAATTAAGTAGAGTGTGTGCTGTACTTGGCATGTATCTAAACACCAAGTTAGGGCCAGTGAGGAAGGTCCATTACTTGGCTTGAGTGTTGAAAAATTTCTTTGTAATTGCTCTCCACTGTAGGTCATTATTTTTTTACTTAAAAACTGTTTCAACCACGTTTTCACACGTCAGTAGGGTGCCGACAAACATATACATTAATAGTGTCAACTTAAAAGGAAGAATTATTTCAAAATTCTCCATCTTACTCTAAACTGAGTCAAAATCAAATAGCTCCACTTAAAAGATAAATGCATTTTCTTTTCATCCTTATTCATCTGTGCATTCATCTGTGCATGTTGGATAGTGATGGAAAGTGAGTAGGCAGTGCCAACAGTATTGTTTTGGTCATCAAATCTCCTGTTAAGGGCATGGTTCACAACTGGCATGCAGTCTACTTGTGGCTCACCCAAAGGAGTGGTAGTGATGGAGGTGGAGGGCTGTAATCTGTTTTATAATAATTTGTAGTAGGAAGGGGTTAGGAAATTCCTCATTCATTAGAGTCCTCCCCTATTACAACTAAAAATATTTTCTAATGACTCCATCTCTATTTGAGAACTAAAAATCCTGTTTATGAGTACAGATTATTGCATATGAAGATTACAAACAAGAAAGCTTTTTGTATTATTTAGAAATATGTGTAGATACATGTTCATCTATGAACCATTTAGGATGATGGCAGAGAAGGCAGAGATAAAAATGTTAAACCCAAGTTGAAGGCCAAGCTGGCATTCAGAGGGACAATCTACTAAGTGAAGAGGTCCAGCGTTCAAAGCAGAAAGGGGAAGTAGGAAAAATAGCCCACGCTCAGTCCACAGGATGGCAAATACAATATATACTCCTTACCATCACTATCCCATGTCACAATGACACTCAACGAAATGGGTGAAAAGCTTCCAGGAAGGCCCCCAAACTGGAGTGCTTTCCCAGCTTGCTGTCATCTGAGAGTTCTGTGGAGGACAGAGCTACTGCTGGGTGTGGGTCAGAACAGCTCAGATACCAGTTACCACCACTGGGGAACTCCCTTCTTCACTGGTGCTAGGGGAGGTAGCCAGCCCCTAGTTGGTCTCCTCCCTTTCCCTTTCTATCACGCTTCTATCTTATGGGACTGGGAAAGGAACCAGAAAAAAGCATCTGTCTTTATTTTCCTTAGGTCATCCTCCTCTTTCTCCTGCCATACACCAAAGAGTGTAAGCTCCTACTTCCCCCTTGCCTTAGGACAGACAGTTCCTGCCCAAAATGGATTCTCAATGGATTTTGTTAAAATGAATTGAATCTGCAATCCATTTTACTGAAATTGTGGCTCTGTTTACCTCAACGGTAGTGACAATGCAGGGTGGTTTTGTGGTAGTTTTTTCTACTGGAGTGTCCACCTCTCTGTTTCTACTTTTGAAGATCCAGAAGAAGTTGTTTTTTGCCTGCTCTAGCTGAGGCCTTGAGTGTGGATTAAGTGTCTATTTGGCCATTGAAATATGTTCAGTTCAAGTAGCAGTGGCCATTTTCTTGAAAGATCACAAAAGTCTAAGCCAATATAAAGATCTCTCAAAAATTTTTAAATGCCCGTTTATAACAAGAAAGGAAATGTAAATATTTATCCAGGAAAAATGGTCTCTCCAGTGCAAATTCAAAGAAATACA